CCTGGAATAATTTCCTTTTTTAAGTTCAGTAGTAGCTAAAATCCTCACGTTATCATCATGTGTTCAGGTGTCTACATTGGAGTCTGCGATCCCAGTAGTGGTCCCTTGGCAGGCGTGTAGACAAGGGGAAGGTGGGTGAAGCCTCTTGCCTGATCTTGAAGACAGACAGTTATCTTTCTTGCCAGTGTTCCTGTTTCAGATTATCTCCTCAGATTGGTGCAGGTCTTCCTTCTTAGCCAATGTCTCCCAGTGAAAGATGTACTAACACCCCATCCTAGAATTCTGGGTGGTGACACTGAGTGTCATTTGGAAAAAGATTTTTATTGGTCTCTTGTCAGAACCATTTGTGTCGCTTTTCTTTTAAACCTTCTGGGATCTCGTGCACCTTTGTTAGAAGGGGATTGTCGTGGGCAGTGCAATGTTTCTGAAAAAAAAAATAGCTTGGAGAGCTTTTTGAGTGCAGTCCTGAGAGTGCTGCCCTGGGGAACGCCAGTCCCTGAAGCAGGTAGGGAAGGGCTGTGTGAATTTGGGCACTCCCAGAGTTAATGGACAATTTGGGTGCTGTGTGTACGGTTCTACTTGGTTGCTCTGTGCATCCTTAGCATCCAAAGTTTGAGGACATCTTACACGTGAAAGAAAAAGAAGGCTGCCTTTTAAAACAAACTGTTGCAGGGTTTGGTTATTTAAAAAAAATAAACTCTCATTTTAGGAACAGCAATGCAATGGAACTTAGTCTTAAAATTTGCTTTTTTGGGGGGCACAGAATTGAAGGCTTTTTTTGGAAGGTCTGCAGAGTTCCCTGGTCATTGCAGCTGGCCTTTCCAAACAGAGCTGTCAGGGCTTTTTCCATCCTTGACCTGTCTGCTGAGAATATGAGTGTTTTCAGCCTTCTGATTTACGTCGACGTGGGTTGACAAACATCAGTTAATGAAGTTAGAGATCTAAGTTAGTTTCTAGGCCTGGTTTTAAAGTCTGGAATATTTACTGATACATTTTGATTCCTTTGATAAAAGAAAGATCAGGAGATCCCCTCGACATATTTCAGTGAGAGCGGAATAAACTTGTTTTCTTATGGAGCATTTCTCATTTCATCCATACCGACCATTTTGTGGCCTGTTCTTTTAGGAATTCTTCTCCGTACGCAAAGGTTAACAATTCTCCAGGGGCTGTTTCTATTCTCACTGGCACGAGAACTGTTCACCACCAGTGGAGGAAGTGGTTTCCCACTAATTTCCAGGACGGCCAGAAAGTGTTAGTCTTGCAGTGCATTGTGCAAGTGCCTGGGGAAAGATTAGGAAGAAAGAAGCGTGTTCTTTATCAGCACTCTGCTTTTCTTCTTCTATGCCTTTATCACTTCTGTGTGTGTTTTTCCTGGTATCCCATGAAAACCTTTGCCAGATCTTTATGGCTTTCTATATGTTTTTCCTAATATCTGAAGAAAAGCAGATGGAAGGCTTCCTTCACAGTTCTAAATGCTTCTGAATCGGCAATGCCCAGGGCACTCCTTGCTTATCACGGGGAGATAGAGATGGTGAGTGTTGCAGACAGTGAGATTAGAGGCTGTGGTAAAATGATTTCAAGCAGATAGTCACTTGCCAAACTCCTGTCAATTTTGTTTAATGCCAGTTATAAGTCTGGGAACTTGCCATCATGGTGCGCTGGGGAGTTTTTTGGGCTTGGTACCTAGCTGTGGGGCCTCCTTTTTAGGCAGCAGCTAGACCTTGGAGGATAAGCAAAATAGATTATTATTTATTTTTTTAATTTAAAAAAAAATCTGGAAAGCATTAAAATATACAGCAACTTCTTAAACTTGGCAGGAGGATAATATCGGCAGCGGGAATGATTTGTGTCGTATCTTGGGCAAATTTGGTTAAAGTGAAAGAAGTTTGAATTTTTGTCTTGTAAAGCTGGAAAAATCTCAATGGTTCTTCCTTTGCTTACTAAATATTCTAATTGTACTGTACAACTTACGTGCTCATCAACGTATTGGTTTGTTGTAGAGCTTGAATGTAAGTTGCCTTACATTTCCAAAATCGTTTTAGCAGAAATCATCTGGTTTTGGAGCTCCACTGTGACGAACAAGGAAGGTTCAGCTCTTTGAGTCTCATTTAGCAGGACAGGAAACTTCTGAGGCTGCGCCCAGGCAGTTCTGACAGAGCTGGAAGGGAACATAGATTTAATACCATAATTTCTCAGTAGATCTGAGACAAGCTGGCAGCTTAAAGTCACCCGGTGGGGGGAGTCTCTTCCCCTCTGGTTTCCCCCCTTGCTCTCCTCACCTCCAGCATTAGTGCTGGTGCTTATTATGCTGCAAGAGAAGCAGATAAAAACTGCTGACACAAGAAAAAGCGCTTCTCTTCTGGTGTAGTTTTCATGGCACAAACTGGTTACCTCCTGGGCAGGAGGGTGCTGGGGTCTGCTCGTGGTGACACTGGAAGGGCAGCCATGGAGGTGAATGGGCACAAGAAAAAGCTCTTCTGGTGTAGTTTTCGTGGCACAAACTGGTTACCTCCTGGGCAGGAGGGTGCTGGGGTCTGCTCGTGGTGACACTGGAAGGGCAGCCATGGAGGTGAATGGCTGGTTGGGGCAAGAGCATTTGCAAAACCTCTCCTTCTCTAAGCTGCCAGCTGTTAGTGCTTCAATACGTTTAAGAAAAAGGGATTCAGTTTAAATTGATACTGTCCTAAATCTCAAATTAACATAAGTCTGGTCATGGTTTATTCTAAAATGGTATCTTCTATTATTGCCATTTAAAAAATCTGACCTTCACAAGAGCAAAGTATGAAGTAAATGCCAAATGTGACTTAACTACTGGAGAGGGGAGGAAAAGTCCCTTCCTGCAGGCAGCGTTCCCTTTCTAGAGGTAGGATTTCTAGTTTCTGTTCCTGACCTTTCCTGTTACTCAGCTCCTGGTTGTCAGCAGCAGTGCGGTCCCTGGAGACACTCAGCCTTTGGGAGTTCCTGACGAATAAAGCCATGTACCATTGCTGCTCAGGCCCCTGGCGTCACGGGCAGCAGGGTCTGTAGTTCCATAAAAATATGGAAGCTGATGTTACATCATTGTCTTGTGTTAATGGTTCTAACTCAAAATCACCTTATCTGAGAAGGTTTGGTGGTTATATGACTGCTTCTGACCCATCTTATTGCAAACATAAGTTGGCAAAGGCTGCTAGTACTACCTCTGTGGAGCTCGGTGCGTGCTGGTGGCCCAGGGATGAGCGAGAAGCATTTGCATCTTCTGAACACCTGACTTGGTGTTTTACTGGTGCCCAAGAAGCAATAATATCTTAAACTGTTCTAATTCAGCTCAGATTGATTATCCCCTCGAGCAAGATTAGCACTGTGCTAGTGACCCCTGCTTCAGTTCTCAAGCAAACTGCAACTAGAGGAATTTTAATAGTAGTTGCTTACCTACAGCATCTTATGTTATTCTTTTGGCCAAAGGAGTGTATTGGCCAAAAGTTCTATTAAAGTAAACACAAAGCTCTTCCTTGAGCCTGGGGTAATTAATTCTTCTATGGTGACACTGAGGGGTTCGATGAGAAGCAGATTTCGAGTTGAACTTGGAAGGTTTACACTGAACTTTCCTAAGGGAGTTAGAATTGCAAATCTGCCCTAACTTCATCCAAAGAGAGTGTTTGGTCTCATGCCCCTTACTGGTGGAATCTGATTTGGAAACACGTTCATACTTCAACATGAGTGCCACTTTATGATGTCAGTTGACATATCTGTGCTGCTCACAGGCCACAGAGTTGGGATCCTGTGGTAAAACAGTGATGAGTTAAGAGCAGGAGTGTTGAACTGAGCATCAGGAGGCGATGAATTCACTTCAGGGGTTTAGCAGCTTTTATGTTAAATCTGTGTGCTTCACAGCTGGTTTTAAAAGCTGTTAAACAAAACTGTATTTTGAAGCTAGAGATGTTTGGCGCTCCGGGACCGAGAGGGTGAACAGATCTGCAGCCCCAAATGTGAGAAGCAGAGCCTGGAACCAGAGGAGATACTGGCTTCCTGGTGGTGGTTCTTTCCAGAAAGAACATGCCAGTCCCGGGTTCCTGAATCTGTCAGACCTCATTTTTCTCCTGTTGCAGGAACAGGGTTTAGGTATCCTGATTGTGATAATTTCAAAGTAGTTGTAAAAGCGCTTTAAAACTTATTCTTCTGGCAGGTTTTGAAGGAAGAGCAGCTTGGGCCTGGTGTGAGTTCAGTTGTAGATGTGCTCTGAGACGGCAGGAGCCAGGAAAATATCTTCCTGTGATGGGATTTCTGGATGTTTTCTTAAGGCTTTCTTTAAAAAGGTGCAAAAATAGAAACTCAATCAAATACTCAATGTGCACCAAAGTTAGTGCCCCAGTACAGATTCCTCTGTTTCGTATATGCCATTAAACAGACAGCCAAAGGCAACAATTTAATAATAACAGGGCCTTAAGATGCAGGATAAGTGATGTGTGAAGGAGAAAATATTTAGAAAATAAATGGTCCCCAGTTGAAATCCTGAACTGGGTCTGGTAGGTCTGGCTGCTGCTCCTCTTTCTGTCTTTTAAGAGTTCTGGGTGTAAGGTCGGGATTAAGGTGGAGGTGGCAGTTTTGATTTTGGCTTGTGAAGTGTGTGGATGTAGGGAACCTGATTTTTTTAACTCTACTGTTGTGGATGCTTTGGTGTTCACAGGAATGTGCACAAAATCTGTCTTGATGCCTTTTACTAATGTAAAGAAAAAAAAAACCAAACCCAACAACCCTTAAGAGCTCTCTTAATGGTACATAGTTTTGGAAAATGCCATGATTGTTAGTTTGAAAGAATGAATTGTTCTGGAAGTTTCAACAAATAATGTTTTGTTTTGCGAGTGGAAAAAATGTGTAGTTGAAACAGTTGCTCGTTCTCAGTTTGGTTTTGTGTGTTGTGTTTTTTTTTAATAAACATTCAAACTTATTTCAGGTGGAGAAAATGTGGCTTATTGAAATGCAAAAACCTAGAACTTATTTGGGATTTTTTCTCTTTGCAGATATTTTATAAAATGTCTAATGGTTATGAAGATCACATGGCTGAAGATTGCAGGGATGATATTGGTAGAACAAATTTAATCGTGAACTACCTCCCTCAGAACATGACGCAAGATGAGTTACGGAGTCTATTTAGCAGCATCGGCGAAGTTGAATCTGCAAAGCTTATTCGGGACAAAGTTGCAGGTATAATCCAGTATATAATGTTTTTTCCTTGTGGTGGACTGCTGAAGTAAACACTTAATTGAATGCTATTTAATGTAGAAATAGTAAATATTTGTGTGTGTAATCAAACTGCTGACAAGTATGCATATAACTAAAGTAATGCCGAAACGAGTTATAGAGTATTAGAAAGACAGTAATTAATTTAGCCTTAAGTATTCTATTTTGTACATCGTTAAGAATTCCAAGAAGTACAGTTCCTAAGTGTGAACATCAATAGACATGTCTAAAACTAGTCTGAATCTGGTCCCCAGCTTATTTATTCTTCCTACATTTTTGACTCTCTCAGAGCTCTGAATATACAAACAAACCTTTTGATCAGTAAAATAAAGGTGTGGCACGTGCTTGAAAACTTGTAGGCCTTATCACTCTTCAGGAATTTAACTTGTACGTTCTTTAAATAGGATTGTTAATAGTAGCTTTAAAAAAATGAGAGTAATGAATTGCTCAGATTTGTGAAACCTAATGTTTCCTTGAAAACAACTGAATGCTGGTAGAGCAGCTGGTGCCATAAGCCATAGCTGCTTAGCTGCAGGAGTTTATCAGCTCTGTGAAGAAGTTTTAATCCTTGCCCAGTTAAAAAATCTTCACTTACAAATTCACAGAGTCTTGGATTTAGTGGGTGAGCCTGGTTGTTTGTGTCACTAGAAGTGGTGGTGCTGTTGAGGAGCTCTGCGTGCGTGTTTGTTCTCAGCCTGAGGACAATTCCCTTGTGCAATTTTCTGCTGCACATGCTCAGTCTTGTGTTTCAGAATCTACCAATACTGACTTAGATCATTATCTCATTCATAACGAAACAGATCTGAAACTACTTCATTGTCTATAAAAACTGCATGAAAGCTGACGAATCACATGAGAGTTCTTTGTGTGTTATCTTAACTGGCTTTAGTGCTTTATTTTGTATGCATGAGAATAGACATGAGAACTGAATAATTAAAAACTTTAGAATTTATTTTCAGAATGACTTTTGTGTTTTCCGTGTCTAGTTTTCCTAATTTCTTTCAGCTGAAGTTTCACATGATAGCCATCTGTCTAAATCTGTACTTGTGGAATGTGTATGTAAAATCATTGTAAAATAGTTCCATAAAGTAGTGATTTCTTTGAATAATTTGGTAGTTGCGTATTCAGCCTCGATGTCCTACAGTTTGAGATGCTTAGAAGTAGAGGCTTGCTCTGGGGGCTGCTTTTGCAAGGAAATAAGATCACTTGTTTAACGGCCGCAAGCCATTCATCAGATGTCACAGCTGATCCACAACTTAGACTTTCAAATAAGCACCAAATGGTCTGTGTGGGACGGAAAGGGTATTTTACATGGGAAGGGAGACACCTCATTACCTGAGGTTTGAGAGTCTACTTCACACTGTTCCCTGTAGCAGCGAATACTCTGGTAAAGTCTGGTTAACTTTAACTTGGAACTTGACAGTGCTGGGTAGTTTAAAGTCCAAACCACGTGCTTGTGCGCTTCAGGTGTTTCTTATCAACCCTCTGAAGAATCAAAATTCCTGTTAAGGTTGTGTAGAGTCCTTGAGTGCCTGTGAGGAAAATGCTTACTTTTCTTTGAAGTGGTAGCAAAGTGTTTCATTCTGCCTGGCTGTGTCGGTCACACCGCTTCGTTGTGTTCTGCCTCATTTGTCAGTCACTTGTGACACTGTTAGGAGAAGTCTCAGCCTTCTCCGCGCTCACCGATGGCTTCGGAATATCGGTAACTAAGAATTGGCTTCTTTGGGAACCTGCTAAAAGTACCACTTTTGTTTCTTCCTCTGGCTTTTCTTTCAGTCCCTTCATGTTTACATTAAGACTCCTGTGTTGTAAAACTCCCCTCTGAGCAGATGTGATGTTTGGCTGCCCCCGAGGACGGTGCTGTGGCAGGGCTCTGCATTCCTCCTGCCACCGCTTGCGTTTCTCTGACCCTGTGGCAGAGCAGCAGGAAACTAGAGCTGCAGCTAAACCTGGCCAGGTCCCTGCCCTGGCTTTCTGTGAGGTCAGATAAGTCAGAATATCCGTACCTGAGACGTAGTGGGGTTGAGTGGCCTGGACAGGAGGGAGGTGACATCTGCTTTTGTTGGAATTATACTTTTTAGATCAGTTTATTTCTCTCCAATGAAATCACAGCTTTGGTTCCCCGTGATATTCCAAAGAGTTTTGTCTTTGGAGTTGCCTTTGACTGTGTTTGCAGAGTTAAAATCAATGTTAGTTTGCTAATACTTATTTTTCATAAAACAATGACTGATACGTCTGTTTTCTCTCAATTAATGATCCATTAATGAAACATGTAGGGCAGAAAATGTCTTCTGCCTGAAATGCATTTTTTAATGACTTATTGAACCTGCCTTAGCTTTCTGGAGACTGATTTCTTTGATTCAATAATTGACTTGAAAGCCAAAGTTTGGGTTTATTTGAGCAAAGTATTTAATTATGAAGTCAAAGTATATATGCTGTTGGGTTTTGCTTCAAACACAGTATGGTACTGAACAGTCTTATATACCATGTATTAGATTGTGTTTAAAACTTAGAGGAACTCTTTGAAAGCACTACACCACTTCTCCTTTATTTTGTTCTTGCTAAATGCTGCAGGAGGCTGAAAGCAGCAGCGCATCACGGTGTTGGTTTACATTCCTTACTATGATTTTTCCGCTGTGTGTGCGCATGGATTATAGCTGTTGGCTAAATTATGACTATGTGTTTGTCTTGTTGTTTGAGACATAACTTCTTTTTCTGTTTGGTTTTTTTTTTTTGCAGTAACTGTAAAAAGGAGCTTCTGCACAGTAGATGAACACTAGGCAGGGGGTAGTGTTCCTGCAGCTGCTCCTGGTCGCACAGGGTGCTGCTGCTTCGCTTCCTTCTCCGCCTGGAGCGTTGTGTTCCTGAGCACTCCCAGACGTGGCTTTGCTTAACGTGTGGTGGGTGAATTGGTGCTTGGGGTCAGTGGGCACATACTGGATTGTTGCTCAGCGTACTGATATTTGTGGTGAGAATATCTTGGACATCCAGGATTTTCCCAAGAGAACTCTGGAGTTAGATATTGCTCTTTCTGTGGGTTCTTTAGACCAGCACTGCCCTTACCTTGGGGTACGAGCCCTGACTAAACGTTAGGAAGTTGGTCCCCAGTGTAGTGTGGCACAGTGTCAAGTGGAAGATGTACCTTCCACTGTTGTGTTCCCTGGCATTTTGCGGTGACTGGTGAGGCTTGTGAGCAGCCAGTGACCCAGTGCTGTTGGTGGAATCCTCTCCTCCTGTGGTGCTGGCTCCTGAGGCTGAGAGCAGGGAAAAGTGCTGGGGTTTGGCTGATCGGTCTGCGCTGGTCAGACTGTAGCCCTCCAGAACTGACTTGGAATCACAGAATCATGGAATTGTTATGGTTGGAAGGGATCTTTCAGATCATTGAGTCCAACCATTAACCCAACGCTGCCAAGTTACTGCTAAACCATGTCCCACAATATACATGTCTTTTAAATCCCTTCAGAGATGGTGACTCCACCGCTGCCCTGGGCAGCCCATTCCAATGTTTGATAACCCTTTCAGTGAAGATATTATTCCTAATCTCCAACCTGAACCTCCCCTGGGGCAACTTGAGGCTGTTTCCTCTTGTCCCATCACCTGTTCCTTGGGAGAAAAGACCGACCCCCCCGGCTACACCCTCCTTTCAGGGAGTTGGAGAGAGCGAGAAGGTCTCCCCTCAGCCTCCTTTTCTCCAGGCTGAACACCCCCAGCTCCCTCAGTTGCTCCTCACAAGACTTGTGCTCCAGACCCCTCACCAGCTCCGTTGCCCTTCTCTTGACACTTCAGACACAATAGTGCCAAATTTGTGCTCTGTACTGGTTTCCTACCCAGGAATGTATAAAGTGTTAGATGTTCCTCTTTTGTGGAGCCACTGCCTCCTTCCATAGATGATTCCACAGAAGAAACAGACACTGTACCACTGGGGGTTCTTGGCTTTGCTGGGACATCCAGATTCTGGGGTCTGGGATTCCAGCCGATCTGCCGTGTTGGGCTCCTCTGACAGGTGAACATTTTTCAAGTATTTCTGCTCCTTCAGTATGTACTGACGCTGAAATCCTGGCCTTTGTGCTGCTCTAATCTTGCTGAACGTCTTGCAGGACAGATGTGGATGGCTCCTGGTGTCAGGGTATCTGATTGTGCACAATGTGGATGGTGGATGCTTCTAATCAATAGCTGTAAATTTTCTGAGAGCCTGGTTGTCTTCAGTCTGCCCTTCCTGCAGGTGTGTGCAGACATCTAGTCTTTCTGGACCAAATGTTAAAGCTGAAAGTTAGTCTGCTGTGAGTATAAGATGTATTTGGTTCCTCTGTCTTCCCCTTACCCTGCTGAAGTGGTGGTACTTTCCAACTCAACTGTCCTAAAGCTCTGAAAAGGTTGGTTTAAACTTTTGCCATGTGTTTAGGGTCTCAGACTGCTATGGGATCTGTTTATTGCTCATGACGTCCATCACCCTGCTCTGAGGACGAGTTTGCTGCCTGCACCTCTCTGAGAGTATTCTGTCTGATGGTATTGATTTTTGTCAGGGAGGTGTCCAACTTCTTGAGGGTTCTCGTTCCTTCCCTCACACCTCTGCTGCTTGAGCAGGGAGTTAGGTACCCATGTGATACTCGTGACAAAATACTTGTTTCTCTCTGCTGCTTGAGCAGGGAGTTAGGTACTCATGTGATACTCGTGACAAAATACTTGTTTCTTTCTGCTCTGGGAAATCTAGGATGCAATCCTGACTGTGCCAAAGGCTCTGTCTGTACCTGTCAGCTCCCGAAGTACAGCCGTCTCTGCTGGCGCTGAGAGGGGACAGTGCCTGCCACTCAGCTGGCTGTCTTTGCTTCTCTGAGTTTGAGCTCTGATGGAGAGGGCTGACGTTGAACTCCTTGATCAGCAGCTGTGGGGCACAAAGGCATCACTCCACTGTCACTGAAAAATGTGGAGCAGAATGGACATTTTGGGGGGTGACTTGTTGTGTG